AAAAGCATTATTGTACGTAAAGATGACGTTTTTTTTATAAAAACCGTCGTCTATTGTATGTAAAGAGGACGCTTTTTATAAAAACCGTCGTCTATTGTATGTAAAGATGACGCTTTTTATAAAACCGTCGTCTATTATACGTAAAGATGACGCTTTTTATAAAAAAAACCGTCGTCTATTGTACGTAAAGATGACGCTTTTTATTAAAAAAAACGTCGTCTATTGTACGTAAAGATGACGCTTTTTATTAAAAAAAACGTCGTCTATTGTACGTAAAGATGACGCTTTTTATAAAAAACCGTCGTCTATTGTACGTAAAGATGACGCTTTTTATAAAAAACCGTCGTCGATTGTATGTAAAGATGACGTTTTTTTATAAAAAACCGTCGTCGATTGTATGTAAAGATGACGCTTTTTATAAAAACCGTCGTCTATTGTATGTAAAGATGACGCTTTTTTATAAAAAAAGGTCGTCTATTGTATGTAAAGATGACGTCTTTATAAACAATCCACGACGGTTTTCATAAAAAAATCGTCATCTTTACATACAATACACGACGGTTTTATTAAAAACTGTCGTCTTTCCTCCTATAATTAACGATCTTTACCTCTAAACAACGACGATTTTCTTTAAAAACCGTCATCTTTACTGATAAACAACGACGGTGAAAAGCCGTCGTAATTTGAAACCCAAATAGACGGCAGTCGATTTCACGACCGGGCGAAAACCTTTTACACGACGGTGGTTTCCCGTCGTCTATTTCGATTTTTGTAGTAGTAGATTGATGGTGTGCCAATAAAGAATGGGGAGTTTAAGCAAGCAAAGTATAATTAGATGAGTGCATAAAGTGAAGTCCTATTAGTGAGTGTTCCACTTTAATGTCTTTTCACAAGGTTCTCTATTTTATTTAATTAGATTTTCTTTTGGGTGAAACTTCTCCGATAATAAATAATGTACATTAGAAAATCAATACAAATAATTCCATTTGCATAATGCTGCTCAAAGTAGATATAGAGATATTGCAAAAAAATTGTTAGTGAATAATGCATTATATTATAGAGTAGAAGAATAAGGTCAGATTAAAAAAAAGATACAGTACCACTTTTTTAAAAAAATCAAAAATAAAATTTGTAGATAGATTGTAAAGCTCTGGATGTAACAATTATTAGAGATATGCTAAAATGATAAACGATTTCCGACACTCTATTTATTTTCTATGCCCCAAAGTGGCCATGTTCTAAAATGATAAATTATTTGAGATTTTTATTTTCCATTTGATGTTGGAGAGAGAGAATAAGAATATGAGATGTCTGGTGCCGAGTCCATGTCCATGGATAAAAAGAAACATAGAAAAATATAAAAACAAGAATTTGAATTTTTTTTAGTTTATCTTTAAAAAAAATAAAAAAACTAACAAAACATATTCAACAAGAATATGTATACACACTTCTCGGCTTTAAGGCTTAGAGAATGTCACAAGGAGTTTCTAGGAATTTTCTGTGTATTTTTTGAATTTTAATGCATTTATCGTAATTTTTAGAAGTTTAATAAAATGGAAGTGATTGACGCGAGGAAGCTGCCAAAAGTCGAACCATCAGTATTTCTAATGGGTATCCTTCTACAACAGCACCACGTGTCATTTCAACTATATTTGTATTATTTATCTTTAAAAATTCATAACAATTTAAATTAAAAATCAGAAAAATACACCCAAAAAAAAGGTACGCCGTCTTTACAACAAGGCCTTTGATTTTTGAGGTCTAAAATTATGATACCATATATTTGAGTTCATGGTAATCATTGGATCAAAGAAATAAGAGTGTTAGGTTGTAGAAAATTAACCTATGTTTTGGTTTGGTTGGAAACAAATTTGAATTGTTTTGTCACTTTGAGTTTTTATAAGTCAAAATAAGATTTTTAGAGCTTTAGGGTGAAGAGAATGTCATAAAGGAGTTCCTAGAAATTTTCAGTGTATTTTTTGAATTTTTAATGTATTTATTATGAATTTTGGAATTTAAATCATAAAAAAAATTATTAAATTAAAGTGATTGACACATGGCAGCTGCTCCTTAGGACAAAGTCTTCAATTTTTTAGGTCTAAAATCAAGATTCCATGTATTTGAGTTCACGGTAATCACAAAACATTAACTATAATTTTGATTTATAATTACTTTATAACTAAGTTCATTTTGAAGTAAAACTTTCTGGTGCTTCTAATCTTATATTAGCATAGTTTGTTGGCATATCAAGTATCAATATTCATTCTGCTACAATAAGAATTGTATTTATCTTTAAGTTGATGATAACGTCTCTTCATGTGTAATAATATCCTTGATTGAAAGTATGGTTGACTTCTCTTCTAGCGCATATGTTGGTTTATTTTGTATACCTATTTCAGTAATATAAGTCGTTCATGAGATTTTGTGTCATTGCAACTTCTTATACGTTTTGTTCTAGGTTTTAATCAGCATTGGCTATCTGCTTAAATCTCACCACTGGATTATTTTTCAATTATATGCTATTAAATGGGGTATGAAAAAGAAGTGATGCATCACGTAGTACTTTTCGTACTGGGCTAGACTCTTGCAACTCTGTTTGCTCTCTGTAATTCCTAATGGGAAAATCTTTGTTATTGTTGAAAAGTTGTTGATCATATACTCTGATGCAGGTTAGGGGCAGTATCCATTCCACTCTCATGTTCCTTTCAATATGGAGGAGGATTTACCAGAATGGTCGAGGAACCATTATTTTAACTGCAGTGGAAGCTATGCAACACCTAAATAAATTACGAATTCTTACTTTTTTTTTTTACTGTTGCCTTCCAAAGAAAATATGCACTGAGGAAAGCCGCTGGAGTGACCATAAATTTCTTATATTCAAGGGTCAATTGTAAGTTGCTTTCTCAAACTGGTTGTCATGTTGTTTGTTCCCCAGACGAGTAACATTTTTGTGGATTTTGGAGATTTTCTTGACTAGTGTGGGATTTAATGTGAATCTAGAAAGTGTTGGTCGAGAGCAAATGGTTTGGACTAACTTGAGAACCAATTAACAATATATGTTTGTTCGTCGAGAGCGCATGGTACTCCGCGTATAATAACAATTTTTTTTTTGGGGTATGAATCCGCGTATAATAACATGAACAGGAAGTAAGCACCAACTTGAAAAGCACTGCAGCTATGTACTTTTCGGGACACAAAAAGGCATATAATGTCTCTTTAAGCCTCTAATAAAGAGTCCCACCATCTAAACATATTTTGAATTCCTAAATATGCATGCATTTAGATTTTAGAAGGACATAAGTTTACAATTATCATTGGAGAAATACAATGTTGAATAATATTAAGAACAGTTTCCTATTTGTATATGAAATACATGTTCATCTTAAAAACGATTCTTCAACTCATGAGTAAACGAATGAGCCATTTCTTTCCATAACCCGCATATCTAAATTATTTTTCATTCTTTAAATACATTTTTCTTTTGTTACCTAATAGTAGCACAAGTCTGCAAGAGTAATAATGATGTGAAAGTATTTGATGGTTTTTTTACTATGTGCAGAAACTAGGTGAACATTTTTGGTATTTCTGATTTCTCAAAAGGAAAAAAAATGGGGTGACGAATCTTGAACGCCTAGCTCAAGATGCGGATAATGTCTTGGATGAATTTAACTATGAAACTTCTCCGGGCGCAAAGTAGAAATCCGAAATCATATGAAGAAAAAGGTACTTAACTTCTTGTCACTCTCCAACCCGGTCGCATTCCGCCTTGAAATTGCACATAAAATTAAGAAGATCAATGCATCCTTGGCGATCTCAAAACTCCAAGAATGGGTCCCTTAGTCATAAAGGCAGGGAAGAATCGGTCAATATGCTTGTTTAGTTTTTCTTTTAGAATGGAGAATGGGGCAAATTAGTTAGCTGGTGTTTGGTGGACAGCTGTGGATACACGGTTGCCATAAGTCGCCAACGTTCCAGAGGGTTTTGGGCTGGATGTATCTCGGAAGGCCCCTTGCTTAGATTTAGAATGCAAAATGCCACCTACATACACATATGTAAGTTGTAACTATCAACCAGCTGCAATCTAACAAACATGATGTCTAAATTTCCTAACACTTCCAATTATGTCGACATCGTATTTAGGGTTAAATACCATATTTGACCCATGAATTTTTATTTTGGTTCCCATGTTTAATTGACGAATTTGGTTTGTGCTTTGTCATGTTAACAATTTTGGTCTCATTTGACGTTAATTTGCTCTTCCAACATATGGGGGCATGTGGTCCATCCACATAACACATGTAAGAGCAAATCTAATCTGAGGATCCAATTTTTCATCAAACTAGTTCGTGCCTGTTGTGTTAAAATATAAATATAAATATATATATATATATATATATATTAGTATATATTTATTTATGTCTCTCGAAACCATGTCAGATATATGTTAATTACACATGTTGTATAAAAAACAAAATTAATTGATGATGTTCAAACTTATGTTAATGGTGAGGGATAAGAGGGACTGATGATTAAATTGGAAAAATTGAAATTACCTGATCAAAATGATAAATTATTTGATTTTTTTTTTAAATTTAAAAAAAAAAGAAAAAAAGAGAAGGGGAGTTTTCAATACACATTATTAAGATATCATAAGAATTTGGACTTGAAAACTAATTTAAATTTGTTTTTTTTTTTTTTTTTTTTTTTTCTCTTCCATAAGGGTAAGAGCTCTTCACCCCTAACAAGTGTTTGCTTTAGGGTTTCTCTCTCTTGACTTTCGTCGGGGGTTCTTTGTTTTCTTTTGCCTTTCTGGTGCGGTAGTCCTGATGGATGAGGTGATAAATTCTCTAGAGAAGACGCTCATCCTTACAGAGGATGAGAGCGATGCGATTTAGGTCGGGCAGAATGATATCGAGGATGTGGGGGAGCGACTCAAGACGAGCCTAGTTGGTAAAGTCCTTACCACAAACACTTTCAATCGTGAGGCTTTTAAGCAAACGATGTTGATGATTTGGAGTACGGTCCGTGAGGTGGTGGTCAAAGACATCGGGGAAACTCTTTTCTTGTTTATATTTGCGACTGAAAAGGATAGACAGAAGGTTTTGCGCAGTGGGCCTTGGAACTTTGACAAAGCCCTAGTTTTACTAGAGACTCCTGACGGTAGTATTGCTCCATCCAAGATGCTTCTCAAATATGCAGACTTATGGATTCAAGTCCACAATGTACCATTGAGCTATATGTCGACAAATATAGGGAGACAGATTGGAAATAGTTTCGGACGGTGTTTGGATGTCATGGAAGGTATGGATGGGGAGTGTTTGGGTAGATTCCTCAGGATAAGGGTCAGGGTGGATGTCTCCAAGCCGTTAAGACGAGGGAAAAAAATGTTACTACCTTATGGGAATACGGTGTTCGTGGAGTTCCGATACGAACGTCTGCCAGAATTTTGTTTCTGCTGTGGTCGAGTGGGTCATGTGTTCAAAGAGTGTTCTTTCGTGGACCAGGTTGCAAAACAAGCAAGGGAAAAGCCATACGGTATTTGGCTTAAGGCCACAAAGGATTTTCATCCAATTAGGGCTGGCAGTCCTAAACGAAACAGGGGCAGTGGTATGGGTACCAACAAAACACGAGGGCTAGCAGAGGATGGTGAGTCTGGAGCTCATGGAGAGTGGTTGGTACAGCAAGGAGCGCCTATCCATGCCCAACACCTAAGCAGCGATGAGGAAGGGGACTGGGTGAAAGAGAGGGAGATGAAGGAGGGAAGGCAGAAGGGTAGTTCTAGTGGGGAGAAGGTGGATGAATTCTCTATGGGTCCGTTGGGTAGACAAAGGGTGGGCGAGAGACTACAACCACCGAGGGAGGCAAAACAGGAGGCGGTAGCAGGAGTGGGATTGGCCAGCAGCAGGGGATCGGGGAACTCTTAGCATAGGGCTGACGTGGCAACGCCCCAAGACCCAGCAAATCAAGTCATAACTGATATCAGTAGGCCATTACAAAAGCCAATAATTATTGAGGAGGAAGGTGTTGTCATCAAGGAGAAAATAATTAGGAGTAACTCCACAATCAAGGCTGTGGAGACAATGGCTATTAAGGGGGATGTTAGTATTCAAACGGTCGCCTCCAGATTCAAAGCTGTCTTTGGTGAGGAGAGGCGACATTCATTGCATAATCTTCATGGGCACAATCCACTGAGTAGCATTGAAGGTGGGCTGGGTATTTTAAGTGGGGCCCAAAAGAATGTTGAATTTAGGTCTGATTCTAAACTGGAACAGCTGGAGGACCCAATGCAGTATGAGGCATGTGCAGGGCAAGAACACAAACATAAGGCCAACTCAAAAGTGGTAGAAGGTCGTGGAAACGTCAAGCAAGGACAAGAAGCTTTTCAACCAATCCACATGGAGGGGATACGAGTGTAGTTAGAGGTTGGTCTGGGAAAAAGGGAGCAAGGGAGTTAAAAGATGATGGGAGAATTAGGACCAAGAAGCTGAAAGGGAGCGACACTATGACTATCTGTTCAACCAAAGTGGTGGGATCAACAGGGCTAACCCACCACGAGCAATGAGGATCTTAAGTTGGAATGTCCAAGGTCTCGGGGCTCCTCGGACATTCCACTCTCTCAAAAATGTATTGCGAGAGAAAAAACCCGACTTGGTTTTCTTAATGGAAACCAAAGTGACAGCAAATCAGATGGAAAATAAACGGATACAACTTGGAATGAAGGGGGTAGTTAAAGTGGCGAGAATGGGTTTGGGGGGAGGTTTGGCTTTGTTTTGGCGGAGCGGATGGGATTTGAGGCTGCTATCTTATTCCGTGGGTCACATTCATGTTTTGATCACTGGGTCGAATGATTCACAGTTTTATCTTACTGGGTTTTATGGGCATCCTGAGACCCAACAACGAAACCACTCTTGGGAGCTATTACGCAGATTGTTGCATACGGTTCAAGGAGCATGGGTGGTAGTCGGAGATTTTAATGAGATTATGTTTTCAAAAGACAAAATAGGGGGACGAGAACGACCACAAAGCCAGATGAATAATTTTAAGATGGTGTTGGAAGATTGTCGGCTTAGCTCCACTCTGGGTATCTGTTTACCTAGGCACGTAGTTATCCGGATGGTAGTATGGTGGAAGAACGTTTGGATAGATGTGTATCAAATGGAGTCTTCTTCGATCGTTACTCACATCTGACGACCAACCATTTAGTGGCAGTGGGTTCCGATCACTATTCGATCCAAGTGGAGGCTTGCGTTGATGATCCAGAAGCAAGTGCAAAACGGACTAGACGGTTTCATTTTGAAGAAATTTGGACAAAGGAGCCAGACTTTGACAAGGTGATTGAAGAGGCTTGGAAGGTTACCGACAGAGTGAAAGGTGTTCGAAACAGTTTATCAATGTGTGCAAAGGAACTCAAAACTTGGAACTATGTCCATTTTGGCAATGTTCGCAATCAATTAAAATATGCTTATAAGGAGTTAGCAGCCCTTCAAGGAAGACTGACAACTGATCAATCTGCGTTAAAGGCTAAAGTTGAGAAAACCATTTCAGAGCTTTTAGAAAAACAAAAAATTATGTGGAGACAACGATCCAGAGTAGCGTGGCTCAAGGAGGGAGACAAAAATACTCATTTTTTCCATGGGAGGGCAAGTTCCAGATCTAAACGTAATAGGGTGTGTGGAATATTTCATGAAAATCAGGTTTGGCAGACTGACGTGCAAAGGATAGGGGACCTGTTCTGTGACTATTTCAAGACTTTATTTTCTTCCTCCGGTAGCCAGCGAATGGAGCGGATTCTAAACGAGGTAAGGCCTGTAATAACAAGTGCTACGAACGACCGGCTGTTGCAAGTTTTTACGCGGGAAGAGCTGGACCATACTTTATTTCAGATGTTCCCAACGAAAGCGCATGGGCATAACGGTATGCCAGCTTTATTTTTCCAAAAGTATTGGCATATAGTTGGCAATAAGGTGGTCGACAAGTGTTTGCAGATTCTAAACGGGGAAGAAAGTGGTCGGGAGTTTAACCATACTCTTATAGCTCTCATCCCAAAGATCAAGATGACAACCACTATTTCAAAATTCCAACTGATAAGCTTGTGTACGACCGTCTACAAAATGATAGCGAAAACAATTGCAAATCGATTGAAGGCTATTCTTCCTCACGTTATTACTGAAAATCAAAGCGTCTTTGTACCGAACCGAATGATTCTGGATAATGTGATGGCTGCCTTCGAAATAATGCATACTATTAAGGGAGTGAAGAAGGGGCGCGATGTCAAAATGGCTCTCAAATTGGACATGGCCAAAGCATATGATAGAGTGGAGTGGTTTTTTTTTAGAGAAATGATGCTCAAACTGGGTTTTTCATCCACATGGGTTGCAAAAGTTATGGATTGCATCTCCACTCCAACCTTTTTGTGCTTTGGAAGGGCTCTCCTCTTGGGCATATTAAGCCACAGCGTGGGTTACGGCAAGGATGTCCTTTTTCTCCATATTTGTTTCTTATGTGTACTGAGGGGTTCTCGTGTCTATTGCGTGGTGCAGAAAGGAGGGGTGATTTGATTGGGGTGCAAGTGGCAAGGGGGGGCATCTTTTGTAACTCATCTATTGTTTGCAGATGATAGTATTCTATTTATGAAGGCCACGAAAGATGTTTGTATGGCTTTGGAAACTTTGTTCCAAATCTACGAAGAGGTCTCAGGGCAACAAATCAACTACTCTAAGTCTGCGTTCTCTTTAAGTCCGAATGCCACAAGAGCAGATTTCGATATTGCAGGTGCTTTGAACGTTCCTGTTGTGCAGTGCCATGAGAAATATTTAGGTTTGCCCACTATCGCGGGAAAGGGAAGGAAACAACTCTTCCAACATTTAAAAGACAAACTTTGGAAGCATATAAGTGGGTGGAAGGAAAAGCTCTTATCTAGAGCGGGGAAAGAGATTTTAATTAAAGCCGTGTCACAAGCAATCCCCACCTATTCGATGAGTTGTTTTCGGATTCCAAAAGGATTGTGTAAGGAGCTAAATGGAATCATGGCTCAATTTTGGTGGGCAAGGGTGAAGGACAAGAGGGGTATTGACTGGGTGAAGTGGGAGATGTTATGTAAGAGTAAGTTTGCAGGAGGGTTGGGGTTTCGTGACCTTGAGGCTTTCAATCAGGCTTTGCTTACAAAGCAATGCCAGTGCATTATCCAAACTCCAGAGTCGCTGGTAGCAAGGATTTTTAGAGCTAGATACCATCCATCAGCACCATTCTTAGAAGCTGGAGTGGGAACCAACCCATCTTTCATTTGGAGGTCTTTGCAATGGGGGAAGGAGTTGCTTAACAAGGGATTGCGTTGGAGAGTTGGCAATGGAGAGTCCATCCAGGTTTATACTAACAAATGGCTTCCAGTCCCTTCTTTTTTCAAAATCATGTCTGCTCCACAGTTGCCACTCTCAACACTGGTTTGTGATTTATTCACCTCTTCAGGCCAATGGAATGTGCCATTACTTAAGGATATTTTTTGGGACCAAGAGGTGGAAGCAATATTGCAAATTCCATTAGTTTCCTTGGCAAGTCACGATTGTTTAATTTGGCATTATGAAAGAAACGGCATGTATTCGGTTAAAAGTGGATATCAGTTGACACGTTTGGAGAAGGATATAATGTGTGGAGAGTCATCTGCTGGTGTCAACTTGAGTTCAAGGTTTTGGAAGAAAATTTGGGCTCTTAAAATCCCAAATAAGATTAAGTTCTTTCTATGGAGGTGTGTTTGGGATTTTTTGCCTTGCGGTCAGACACTATTCAATCGGAAAATAGCGTCTACACCTAGCTGTCCCCAATGTCACCGCAAATCTGAAAGTGTTCTACATGTTGTATGGTTGTGTGAGGCTGCAAAGGAGGTGTGGCGCAACTCAGCTTGGGGGGAACGTCTGTGAGGTGTCGAGGGTCAATTCTTTTAGAGAGCTATGGTATGCAGTACAGATATCCTCAGGTGGGGAAGAACAAGGGTTGTTTGCATATCTGCGCTGGGGCCTTTGGAATTGGAGGGACAGCTTGATTTTTGAAGCGAAATCAGAAACTGCAACACAGTTGTTGCATCGAATGCATACACTTGCACAAGAATTCTTTGACGTAAACAATAGCTCTCACACAAGTCATGGTCGTCAGTCTAGCCCTCAAGCTTCTTTGCATGTTTGGAGGCCTCCAGCAGTAGGTATTTACAAAATAAATGTAGATAGGGCACTCAAATCTGGAGACTCCATCCGTGGGGTTGGGGTGGTTGTCAGAAATGAGAACGGGGACTTTATGGCCGCATGTGTTAGGAGAATCCAAGCCAGTTACGGGGCTAGGCAAATGGAGCTTATGGCTACTATAGAGGGACTGCGGTTTGCTATTGATATGGGATTTACTGATGCTGTTCTAGAAATGGATGCACAAGATTGCATTCATAGTATTCTTTCAACAGAGTGCAATGGAGTAGATGGTCTACTGATTGAGGAGGTGAAATCTCTACTTAATAATTTTAGAGCAGTTGGATGTCAATGGACTCCAAGATGCAGTAATAAAGTGGCACATGATTTGGCTTAGTTTGCGATTCATTGTAATGATTTTGTCACCTGGATTGAGGAAGCACCCCCATATGGTTGCTCCCTGTGCTTGAAGCTGATCTCTCTTTGGTGTTGATTGAATGAAATGAAATTTTTGTTATATTTTGAAATGTTACTAAAAAAAAAAAAAAAAAAAAAAGAACTTCACATTTGTTACCTATTTTCTGGTTAAGCTGATTTTGTTGTTGTCAATAAACAGTTTTTAGATTCCAATAAACAAAAAGCGAAAGCTCTTTGAGAATTTATCAAAAATGGCCAAAACTTGACCCCCAATTTAAAAAATGTCAGTTTTTGTAAAATATTTCAAATATAGCAAAAAACTCACCTAAATAGACACCAATGCCCTCAAATTTAAAACCCACATAAACCTAAGAAAAAAAAATCGTATTAGATTGGGAATCTTTGTACATATGTTTGCAGACGTACTACTGCCCTAGTCAAATAATGGGTGCAGTTCTTCCTTGATTCTTCATTCAATTTCTTCTTCGTCTATTCTTCATCTATATTTAAGAATTAAAGTTATTAATTAAATGAGGATGATATGGTAAATTCACACATTTCATATTTTTTTTAAAAATTAAAATTCAAAGAAAAATCAGATAATAAATCCTATTTTTATGGAACACAACTACCCATTATCTTTTTAATTCTAAAATAAATTTAATTTTTTTTTATAAAAAAAGCCTCTCGCACGCGTGCGGAGAGCCTAGTACTATATTATATTACATATAGGGTAGACATCCAACAAAAATTGTTTTTTTTTTGGTGAATTAAACAGAAAATTGTATACAGTGAATCTGAATTGTGAAGCATAAGATACATAAGCCAGACTTTTTCTATTCACATCAAGATAAAAGTTTTCTCTGTCTGCAGATTACTGCACTTTAAACTTCCTTGCCTAACTTCTATGGTTTTTACTTCCCTTTTATATTTAACTTGCATTTTAGGTATTAATATGGAGTTTTAATTACAATTATGGCAATTAATGAAATGCTTGGAATACATTATAAATAAAATATGAAGTCTAATGGCAATGATGTAAAAATATGGGAATATTATGACTTCTTATATCTTACTGGTCATTTAAGTTTAATATTGGGTTTTACACATAGATTCATAGAATGGTGGGTGTATGTCTAGGAAATAAAAATTGTAGGGACCTATATTGGAAAAACCCTAAATTTTATTAAGAAACCACAAAAAGGCACAACAATACAACAAAAAGTAAAATCCGACCAAGCTCAACAACAAGGATATAATTTTTTAGTGGAAAATGTTAGGAACATTGACTTATATCATGATTTGATTTTTCTTTGGCCTAAAAATCAATTCTTTTATGTGGAAAATTCTTTTGACTTTGTCACTCAAATTGTACAAATATGGTTGTGTGGCTTTTAAAAGGCAACGTGACGTGTGGGATGGGCTGCCAATTTTGAAAGTTATTAGCTTCTTTGAGAAGCCGGTGCAGCATTTATGCGTGAGGGGAACACTTGGCGGATTGATCCATCAAAGAAGACAAAATAATGGTGTCATTCGAACAGACTTGGGCAATTGATCCGGCAACAAGTCTTTCAGTCATTTGCCAAGTTGGTCACTTCAGCTCGTTTGTTACGGAAGATTGTCTCGGCATGAACTATTCTCATAAATTGTCTTGGCTTGAATTGGATTAAGTTGAATAACACTTAACCAATGTTTGGTGATGCTTGAATTGGGACTAAATTTATATTCATTAAAATATCAATAAATAGGATGATATATTTCAACTTCTGTTCTTCTGTACAAACGTGGGTTAAAAATAGGGGCGGAGCTGTACTAAGGCCTGGGATGGCCCTGGCCCCTAAAATTTATTTAACCCTTTTGAATATATATATATATATATATATATATATATATATTGGATGTGGTAACAAATGCAAAGAAAAATTGCTATACTTAAGCCTATGCCCCTTCACCACAAATCAATGCTTGTCAAAATTGTATTTTAATATGAATATAATAGTAAAATCATACTACATTTATGAAGAAAAAAAACCACGCATTTCAATTTAGTGCTTTTGTACGCAATAGTTTACTTAATAGGTCAAAAAAAATATACAACTAAACTTTTTGTGTTTAACATTTTGGCCCCCTCAAATATAAAATCCTAGCTCCGCCTCTAGTTAAAAATATTCCAAAGTTTTATTTAATAAGGTTTATTTTTTAGGTTTATACGGGTTTTAAATTTGAGAGCATTTGTGTCTATTTAAGTGAGTTTTTTGCTATATTTGAAATATTTTACAAAAACTGACATTTTTGAAATTAAGGATCAAGTTTTGGTTATTTTTGATAAATTCTCAAATTGTAGGGACCTATATTGGACAAACCCTAAATTTTATTAAGAAACCACAAAAAGTCACAACAATACAACAAAAAGTAAAATCCAAACAAGCTCGACAACAAGGATATAATTTTTTAGTGGAAAATGTTGGGAACACTGACTTATATCATGATTTGATTTTTTTTTTTGGCCTACAAATCAATTCTTTCATGTGGAAAATTCTTTTGACTTTGTCACTCAAATTGTACAAATATGGTTGTGTGGCTTTTAAAAGGCAACGTGACGTGTGGGATGGGCTGCCAATTTTGAAAGTTATTAGCTTCTTTGAGAAGCCGGTGCAGCATTTATGCGTGAGGGGAACACTTGGCGGATTGATCCATCAGAGAAGACAAAATAATGGTGTCATTCGAACAGACTTGGGCAATTGATCCGGCAACAAGTCTTTCAGTCATTTGCCAAGTTGGTCCCTTCAGCTCGTTTGTTACGGAAGATTGTCTTGGCATGAACTATTCTCATAAATTGTCTTGGCTTGAATTGGCTTAAGTTGAATAACACTTAACCGATGTTTGGTGATGCTTGAATTGTGACTAAATTTAAATTGGTTAAAATATCAATAAATAGGATGATATATTTCAACTTCTGTTCTTCTGTACAAACGTGGGTTAAAAATAGGGGCGGAGCTGTACTAAGGCCTGGGATGGCCCTGGCCCCTAAAATTTATTTAACCCTTTTGAATATATATATATATATATATATATATTGGATGTGGTAACAAATGCAAAGAAAAATTGCTGTACTTAAGCCTATGCCCCCTCACCACAAATCAATACTTGTCAAAATTGTATTTTAATATGAATATAATAGTAAAATCATACTACATTTATGAAGAAAAAAAACCACGCATTTCAATTTAGTGCTTTTGTACGCAATAGTTTACTCAATAGGTCAAAAAAAATATTCAACTAAACTTTTTGTGTTTAACATTTTGGCCCCCTCAAATATAAAATCCTAGCTCCGCCTCTAGTTAAAAATATTCCAAAGTTTTATTTAATAAGGTTTATTTTTTAGGTTTATACGGGTTTTAAATTTGAGAGCATTTGTGTCTATTTAAGTGAGTTTTTTGCTATATTTGAAATATTTTACAAAAACTGACATTTTTGAAATTAAGGATCAAGTTTTGGTTATTTTTGATAAATTCTCAAATTTTAGGGACCTATATTGGATAAACCCTAAATTTTATTAAGAAACCACAAAAAGGCACAACAATACAACAAAAAGTAAAATCCAAACAAGCTCGACAACAAGGATATAATTTTTTAGTGGAAAATGTTGGGAACACTGACTTATATCATGATTTGATTTTTCTTTGGCCTACAAATCAATTCTTTTATGTGGAAAATTCTTTTGACTTTGTCACTCAAATTGTACAAATATGGTTGTGTGGCTTTTAAAAGGCAACGTGACGTGTGGGATGGGCTGTCAATTTTGAAACTTATTAGCTTCTTTGAGAAGCCGGTGCAGTATTTATGCGTGTGGGAAACACTCGGCGGATTGATCCATCAAAGAAGACAAAATAATGGTGTCATTCGAATAGACTTGGGCAATTGATCTGGCAACAAGTCTTTCAGTCATTTGCCAAGTTGGTCCCTTCAGCCTTGTTTGTTACGGAAGATTGTCTTGGCATGAACTATTCTAAAAAATTGTCTTGGCTTGAATTGGCTTAAGTTGAATAACACTTAACCGATGTTTGATGATGCTTGGATTGGGACTAAATTTAAATTGTTTAAAATATCAATAAATAGGATGATATATTTCAACTTCTGTTCTTCTGTAGAAACGTGGGTTAAATATATTCCAAAGTTTTATTTAATAAGGTTTATACGGGTTTTAAATTTGAGGGCATTTGTGTCTACTTAAGTGAGTTTTTGCTATATTTGAAATATTTTACAAAAACTGACATTTTTGAAATTAAGGATCAAGTTTTGTTTATTTTTGATTAATTTTTTATTAATTTTTTGTCCACTTGGAAATCCACGTCATAAAAAAAATGGGTCCCACATTTGCCACATCATCATTTAACGGATTTTCTAACGATCTCGTTAACGGAGGGGGCAAATTGTAGGTTTTCTGCGACGTTGAGTATGTACTCGTAAATGTCCCTATAATCCTATACATGCATTCATGTGCTTTGAAAGGGGAAAAATAATAGCCTCACATTTTGACTTCACTAAGCAGGGATTTCCAACACGGTTGACTTCTCTTGTGGCACAGATGTTGGCTTATTTTGTATACCTTCTCTTCTCTTCATGAGATTTTTATACTTTTTGTTTCAGGTTTTTACTCAGCATTGGTTATCTGCTTAAATCTCACTACAGGATTATTTTTCAATTATGTTTAATTTAATTGTTTTTTTGCGAGAGCATAGCAGTTGTTGATCTATTTTCCTTTTTCTTGTTTCTGCAATTAAGGGACTCTTGCACGGTTCATATCAAACAGACTTTGATATTAAATATGAACTATGAATTCAATTAAGTTGAATTGTCGGCAGATGTGTGGTGTTTGCTGTAATAAAGTTTAGGTAGGGGCGTGTGTGTGGGTCCTTGCGTTTGGGGACGATGAGGAGCCCCGTCACTTAGCTGTCGTCTAGCACTTTTTACTATTTTTCAATTTCATCAATAATAATGTGGATATAAAAACAACGCATCTGACTTTTCATAAGACGTGGCTATGATGAAAATCATTACTTGCAATTTCTTTTGAAGATTTTCAATATAAGACATTGTTTAACTAGAGGGAGGATTTTTTTTTTTAATATTAAAAAAAAAAAAGAAAAAAAGAGAAGGGGAGTTTTCAATACACATTATTAAGATGTCATAAGAGTTCGGACTTAAAAACACTAATTTGTAAATCAAAATCATTTTCTATTAAGCTAGAACTTGTTCACATTTGTTACCTATTTTCTGGTTAAGCTGATTTTTTTTTTGTTGTCAATAAACTGTTTTTAGATTCCAATAAACAAAAAGCCAAAGCTCTTTGAGAATTTATCAAAAATAACCAAAACTTGACCCCCAATTTAAAAAATGTCAGTTTTTGTAAAATATTTCAAATATAGCAAAAAAAAACTAACCTAAATAGACACAAATGCCCTCAAATTTAAAACCGACATAAACCTAAGAAAAAAAAACTTTATTAGATTGGGAATCTTTGTACATACGTTTGCAGACGTATTGCTGCCCTAGTCAAACAATGAGTTCAGTTCTTCCTTGATTCTTCATTCAATTTCTTCTTCGTCTATTCTTCATCTATATATATAAAGCAAAAGGCAGAGAATAGTGAAATATTCAAAATACCAGAAAATGCCCTTTGTTAATCCAAAGATTAAGAATTAAAATTATTAATTAAATGAGGATAATATGATAAATTCACACATTTTCATATTAAAAATAAAATAAAATTCAAAGAAAAATCAGATAATGAATCCTATTTTTATGGAACAACAACTACCCATTTATTTTTCTTAAATAAAATAAAATAAAATAAAAAAAAAAAAAAAAAGAAACCTCTCGCAGGCGCAAAAGCGCGTGCGGATAGGCTAGTACTATATTATATTACATATAGGGTAGACATCCAACAACAATTTTTTTGTTTTTTTGTTGGTGAATTAAACAGAAAATTGTATATAGTGAATCTGAATTGTGAAGCATAAGAAACATAAGCCAGACTTTTTCCATTCACATCAAGATAAAAGTTTTCTGACTGCAGATTACTGCACTTTAAACTTCCTTGCCTAACTTCTATGGTTTTTACTTCCCTTTGATATTTAATTTGCATTTTAGGTATTAATATGGAGTTTTAATTACAATTATGGCAATTAATAAAATGTTTGGAATACATTATAAATAAAATATGAAGTCTGATGGCAACGATGTAAAAACATAGGAATATTATGACCTCTTATATGTTACTGGCCATTTAAGTTTAAAATTGGGTTTTACACATAGATTCATAGAATGGTGGGTATATATGTCTAGGAAATAAAAATTGTAGAGAACTATATTGGACAAACCCTAAATTTTATTAAGAAACCACAAAAAGGCAAAACAATACAACAAAAAGTAAAATCCAACCAAGCTCAACAACAAGGATATAATTTTTTTAGTGGAAAATGTTAGGAACATTGACTTATATCATGATTTAATTTTTCTTTGGCCTACAAATCAATTCTTTTATGTGGAAAATTCTTTTGACTTTCTCACTCAAATTGTACAAATATGGTTGTGTGGCTTTTAAAAGGCAACGTGACGTGTGGGATGGGCTGCCAATTTTAAAACTTATTAGCTTCTTTGAGAAGCCGGTGCAATATTTATGCGTGTGGGGAACACTTGGCGGATTGATCCATTAGAGAAGACAAAATAGTGGTGTCATTTTTGGACAAACTTGGGCAATTGATCAGGCAACAAGTCTTTCAGTCATTTGCCAAGTTGGTCCCTTCAGCTCGTTTGTTATGGAAGATTGTCTTGGCATGAATTATTCTCAGAAATTGTCTTGGCTTGACTTGACTTAAGAATAACACTTGACTAATGTTTGGTGATGCTTGAATTGGGACTAAATTTAAAGAACAGCAAGGGCATAGTACATTAGTGAAACCCGAGGTTAGACTTGGAGTGTCTAGATACAATGACAAAGTCAAAACAGCTCCAAGAATGGGTCCCTTAGTCATGAAGGCAGGGAAGAATCGGTCAATATGCTTGTTTAGTTTTTCTTTTTGATTGGAGAATGGGTCAAATTAGTTTGCTGGTGTATGGTAGGCCCTTTGTCTACATTTAGAACGCAAAATGCCACCTACGTACACATATGTAACTATCAATCAGCTGCAATCTAACGAACATGTCTAAATTTCCTAACACTTCCAATTATGTCGACATCGTGTTTAGGGTTAAATAACCCGTGAATTTTTATTTTGGTTCCCATGTTTAATTGACGAATTTGGTCTTGTGCTTTGTCATATTTGTGGGAGCAAATATTTTCGTCTCCAATCACGGCATGTCACGTGAAAAATAAGATTATCTCTTAGATTAATTAATTGAACCAGTTTATATGGCCAATTAATTAATTATAATAAATATCTTAATTAATATGATATTATCTTTATTTAATATGATATTATCTTTATTTAATAAGATAATATAATTAATTAGATATTATCCTAATAAAAAGAAGATAATATCATTAATTCAGATATTATTTTCATGAAAAGAGATAATATCATTTAATTCATATATTATCTAAGTCCGACTCGATCCCTACGAATTTGGGTAGAAAATAAACTCATCATATTCTATACGAAACCCTAGCCCCGAGGCTCCTATAAATAGACGATCTCATTCATCATTCAAGGTACATCTAAACCTTCTCCAAAATCCGAGAAGGAAGGTCAAAGGTTGAAAGATCCAGAAACGAATATTCTCCCGTGAGATTATTTGCACAAACAATGTTAACAATTTTGGTCTCATTTGACGTTAATTTGCTCTTCCAACATATGGGGGCATGTGGTCCATCCACATAACACATGTAAGAGCAAATCTAATCAGAGGATCCAATTTTTCATCAAATTAATTTGTGCCAATTTTTCATCAAAATTGTTATTAGTCCCTATTTATTTATGTCTCTCGAAACCATGTCAGATATATGTTAATTACACATGTTTTATAAAAAATAAAATTAATTGATGATGTTCGAACTTCTGTTAAAATGGTGAGGGATAAGAGGGATTGATGATTAAATTGGAAAAATTGAAATTACCTGATGAAAATTGTTTTCGTACCTAACTAACTCTAGTAACTAAAATGCTTTTTACCATTTTGTTTTTACACTTTGTTTATTTTTCCTGTTTTGCCTTTTTAAAATGGAGTTATTTTCTGATGAACTTAATGTAACATTTGATTGTTTTTTCATGAAATTGTTTGTAGTCTCATTATTCGTTGGTACATGGCATCACCACCAGACAAATGCCAACAAATACATGTGGTAATACAGTACCACGTTATAAAGTAGATTAGTAACAACTATCCAGGTGTCGTCTCGTTATTCGTCGGTACCACCACCAGACAAATGCCATGGTGGTAATGCAAAACCACTTTATAAAGTAGATTGGAGGTATCTAATGATCAGTTGGTGAGAAATGCATGTGTCCACAAATATCAAAATGGTAGAGCCCAGCAAGACTTTTAAAGTCTCCTCTTGAGAGTTAAAGAAGCTATATAGCTCCTCTGCCTGTCTCTGCGTGCTATTGCTGTCTTGTATTGCAAATCTGCATTCATCATCTCCTTCTCCTTCTACCTACGAGAGAAGCTCTGTGCCTGTGCGTCTTCACCCATCTTCAGTCTCCTCTTCTCGTTTCTTAATTAATTAACTAGCATTAATATGATCTGCTGTTTGTCTTGCGCAGGGTTACACAAGGAAACTAAGATGGCAGTAGAATCTGTGCTTACTTTTGCGGCTCAGGGAATACTGACGAAGCTGACTGACCTTGCTGCTCAAGAATTCCGTATGGCCTGGGGATTCAAAGCTGAACTAAGGAAGCTCCGTGAATCCTTACCCATCCTTCAAGGTTCCTTGGACAAGGCAAACGATGCTGCTGAGCAGGCAAAAGATGGGGGCAAGGCTGTGGAAGATTGGGTGAAGAAACTTAAACACATAGCTGATGAGGCTGATGATGTCTTGGAAGAAATCAACTATGAATTTCTCTGGAGACGAGTAGAACTGCAAAACCAAATGGGGAAAAAGGTGCTCAACTTCCTTTCTGCCTCAAATCCCATTTTGTTTCGACAAAAAATGGCACACAGAATTAGAAAAATCAGCGCTTCTCTGGCGGAGCTCAAGAATGACTCAACTTTCGTTGGGCTTGGGTTGGTTGCAAAGGACAAAGATCCAACCCCTCAAGGAATTAGGGAGGACAGAGTAACCGACGCATTCTTTGGTAAAAATGAAATCTTCATTGGAAGGAATGCGGTTGTGTCAGATATAGTTACAACATTGACCAACTCCAATACTAATGAACAAAATCTGTCGGTTATGGCGATTGTGGGAATGCCAGGACTGGGAAAGACAACTTTGGCCAAGTCAGTGTACAATGAAGGTGCTATCGATGACTATTTCAACAAAAAATTGTGGGTGTGTGTATCAAACACTTTCAACGTCCATTCGATTTTAACTGCAATGTTAGGAAAGGTAGCCCCGACTCAACAAGCATTGCTTACAGACCTCCAAAAAGAGTTGAAAGAGCAAAAATACTTGCTGGTACTTGATGATGTTTGGAATGAAGAGTCTGAGAAATGGGAAAGGTTGATGAGCTGTTTGTCAAAGTTGAATTCTGCTCCAGGAAGCAAAATTATTGTCACTACCCGCAGTGGCATAGTTGCATCACTCACAGAAACACTTCCGCGGCCTAAATTGGAACTTCTATCAACAGATGAATGCTGGTCCATATTGAAACATTACTCATATGGTAGTTCTAATATACCTCCTCATTTAGAGAGTATTGGACGGGAGATTGCTGAAAAATGTGATGGTCTACCATTGATGGCAAAGGTACACATATACATATACATATATATATATATATATATTTTTATACATAAGTAAAATCATTTAGGGATCATATCATGAATGGGTTATTTTGAATTGCATTGATGCATTTTTATGTAGAAGGAAATAACAAGGTCTGAAAGAAGAGAACAGTTTCATGTCATCATGCCCATCGCAATCTCTTTCTTCAGTCACTTTATTAAATAGAAATCAACAAAGACGTTCCTGAAGGCATTTTGCACTAGTACCCCACCGGAAAAGCCCTTTAGATTCCAACTCTTGGCTCAATTTTAGCATCCAATTGTCTACAAAAGTGGATTATAGAAACTAGTACAAGTAATTTTTTTTCTTTTCCTTATAAAGAGGAAAAAATAAAATTTTGGGCAACAAGTACCATGCTTAAGTGCAATAACTAACATACATAATGGTTCGCACAAAACCAAAGAACTAACAGTCAAAGGGCAAGACTGTCATTTGAATCTTAAAAACCTAAATATTAGATTAAAACGAGTTACTAATTATAGCAATGCAACTCAAAATATATAGTTTGTGTGTCACTTTGCACATATTCTATCACACTTTTCCCCTTTTACTAGTGTTTATGTGTCATAAATAGGAATTCATAAAGTTCATCAAAAAAATTTGTTAAATCTTTGGGTCTATTTTTTTCCTCACAAGGATGCCAGGTTGGCATCACATAGACGTAGACAAAAATATTTTACATTTTCACTTTGCCCCTTAATACTTACATTCACTTTTCACCTCACCAAATTCCGTTCAGTCCGTTAAGCATGCGAACATGGTGCAAGTCTAATAAAATATGGGAAATGCTAGCAACATGCTAAAAATATGGGTGGCTTGGGATCGGGCTGTGATGATTTTTGACTTTTTAGTTTCTGTCAAGGCCATATATGGAAATACAATTTAATATTTTTTAAAAAAAATTAAAAACATTGTTTTGAGGGAGCGATACTACATGTCATTAGGAAAAGGAAAAGGTTCAAAGGAGAAGGATAGAGAGAAGATTACTAGCATTTTCCTAAATATATTTAATATTTTAAAAATCTAAAAAAGATAAATTAAAATTTTAGTGTAAGAATAAAAAAAGTCAATAAAGCTTAAATAAAAAATAAAAACTATTTCTATGATACCGGCAGGCCTACCACTTGCCAACACTTTCATTCCCTTCAAATCACATAAAATCAATAAAAAGCAAAAGCAATTAAAAAAATTTAAAAAGAAAGAAAGCACGTTCACAAGAAAAGAAAAAAAGGGAAAAAAACAAAGCAAGTCGGCCTCAAAGAAGCTTTGCTTGTCTCAAAACCCACCTGGCTCTTTTATTGTCGCTAGACCTGCCACGCTCAATAAGTTCCCGAAGCCCAAGAACAGAGAAGTTTGATTACATGTATGTAAGATAAAATTATGGGCGAATATTTGCATTACTCCAACAGTTAAACGTTCCAAACATAACCAGATTTGCACCCCAACACTATGTATAATTATGGGCGAATTTCACTTAGACCCCCTAACGTTTGGCATTATTACGGTCAGACCCCCTCAGATTTGATTTATTCCACTTACACCCCTTATTTTTAATAGATGTTAACTCACACTAAAAGTAAAAGGCCAAGCCTGTCATTTGAAACGTAAAAACACTAAATAAATAAGATAAAAAAAAAAAAAAAAAAAAAAAAAAAAAAAAAACAAGTCATCCCAAAGCCACCAACCCACCCGCCAGAGCCACCAACACCTCTCACTTCCACAGCCATCGAGGCACACCCCCATCACAGCCCATTGAGCTATTTAAGCCCAACCAACCTTAAATTCCCTCTATGAATCTAGACGAACGAAAATGAAGAATAACCCCAATGCCAGCTACCAATCCAATCAAGAACCTCATCAGAAAAAAAAAGGAAGAAACAAACTCCAAAAATCGTAAAACCCTAGCTACCAATCAATTCTATAAAAAAAAGTGAAACGTTTTGCCCAAAACACACAACCCAAGCTACAAATCCAATCCAGTCTCCTTTTATCAGATAAAATTCCAAAGAGTTTTAGGTGTTTGTTAAAACAAGTATAATAAATCAAAATGTGGGGTCTAACTGTAATATGCCAAACCTCAAGGGGTCTAAATGAAATGTCCATAATTACAGTCAAATTTCAATTAAACTACCTAATTGTTTACTTCTTCTTTTTTGTCATTAGTAAATTTAGATATACATATCCTAAGTCATGTGTACCAACAGGTTTTGGGAGGCATACTTCGTTCAAAAAACAGTACTGATGAATGGTTGTCAATTCAAGAAAGTAAAATATGGGCATTACCAGAAGGCGAGGATAGAATCATGTCTATTTTGAGGTTGAGTTTTGATAATTTGAAATCAGCACCTTTAAAACATTGTTTTGCATATTGCTCAATATTTATGAAAGATTTTGAAATTCAAAGGGAGAAGTTGGTCCAACTCTGGATGGCTGAAGGATTTCTCCACTCTTCAAGTAATCAAGAGATGGAAGATATAGGGAATGAATATTTTAATATTCTATTGCAAAACTCCTTTTTCAAGATGTTACAATGGATGAAGATGGAGTTGTTATCACATGCAAGATGCACGATCTTGTGCATGATCTTGCAGAACTAGTGTCAAAATCTGTTGGGAAATTGCGGTCCCTATTTTCAAATGGTGAAGGCCTTAGCAATAGCTTGTCAAGTTTTAATTCTTTACATGTGTTGAATTTATACGAGGCTGAAATTGTGGAGTTGCCAAGTTCAATTGGCAGGTTGAAACACTTGAGGTATTTGGATGTTTCTAGAACAGAAATCAAAGAACTTCCAAAATCTATTGGCAAGCTTTACAATCTGCAGACATTAAGAATGTGTGGTATGTGGTATCTTGAAAGGTTTCCAAAGGAAATGGAAAATTTGATCAAGTTGAGGCATGTTTATTTCGACCATGATCAGAAAGTTCCATTTGGGATGAGACGATTGACTCGTCTGCAAACATTACGTTACTTTAATTTGGATAAGGAAAGGAATCATGGAATTGATGAGCTGGGTGGCTTAAACCAATTAAAAGGTGAACTAACTATCTCATCTTTGGAACATGTGAAAGACAAAGACGAAGCGAAGAAATCAAATTTAGTAGTGAAAGCAAATATACGAAAGTTGACACTAAAGTGGGGGAATTCCTGGCAGAGAAACAATAAGGAGAGTGATGTTGATGTACTAGAAGGCCTCCAACCGAACCCTAAGTAGAAATCTTAAAGATTGAAAACTTCATGGGTGGTAAATTAGCATCATGGATGATGAGTCTACTCAATTTGAAAGAGATCTGGTTATCCGACTGCAGGGAATGTGAAGAAGTCCCTCCACTCGGCAATTTGAAAAATCTTAGGCATGTTAAATTTGAATATATGGATAAGCTTAAATGTGTGGGAGTTGAGTTTTATGGTGCGGCTTTGTTTCCATCATTGAAAACGTTAGTTTTTAATAATTGTCCAGCTCTAATTGAATGGAAGGAAGTGGATGTGATTTCGCCAGCAGCGGTGTTTCCCTGCCTTGAGGAGTTGACTCTTTTGAATTGCAGGCAATTGAGAAATGCCCCAAGTCGTTTTCCATCTCTCCAGAAGTTGAAGATACATATATTGACCAGGTCATGGCAATAGAAAATATATGCAGTCAACTAACCACTCTCACTCACCTCGAAATTCGTGGAGCCACAGAGCTTACTCGTCTGCCAGTAGGGATGCTGGAAAACAACCACAATCTTCGGGTGCTGCATATTGACCATTGCAATGAGCTTAGCCATTTACCTGATGAGCTACACACACTCCGTCTTCTTGAGGAGTTGACTTTAAAGAATTGTCCTAGTCTAGAGTTCATTCCAATTACCACCCAGAGCCAGGGCATGCCATGTCTCCGCAAATTGAAGATTAAGAAGTGTGAGAAATTATCAAGCTGGCCGAGTGGGTTGGAATATTTCACCTCTCTTCAGGAATTGCATATTCAAAATTTGAAGCATTTACCGGTTGATGGGCTACAGACCCTCGTCTCTCTTGAGGAGTTGACTCTAAAGATTGTCCCTAGTCTAGAGTTCATTCCAATTACCACCCAGAGCCAGGGCATGCCATGTCTCCGCATAGTGAATATTCTGAATTGTGAGAAATTATCAAGCTGGCCGAGTGGGTTGAATATTGCACCTCTCTTCAGGAATTGCATATTGAAAATTGTCAAAATTGGAGGCATTTACCGGTTGATGGGCTACAGACCCCTTGTCTCTCTTGAGAAGTTGACTCTAAAGAATTGCACTAATCTAGAAGCTATTCCCAATTTAGACAACCTCACATCCCTCCGTTTTTGTCTATTTGTGGTTGTGATGGACTCACAAGTCTACCGAGGGGGCTACAATCCTGCACATCTCTTACAATGCTGACAATCTGGGAATGCCATAATTTGATCTCTCTGGCAGATGTCGATGATATCCAGATTGCAGTCTCTTTACAATTTACAAATATTTGATTGTCGGAAATTAAAATATTTGCCAACGGGGCTACGCTCTCTGACGAGTTTGGAATATATGACAATCGGTAAGTTTTGGGAAGAGCTCGATTCTTTCCCTGATTTTGAGCTTCCATCACAAATCCGATGGTTAAAGATCTCAGGGTGGCCTAAGCTTAAGTCTCTGCCTCAACAAATTCAACACTTGACTACTTGTTTAGAAGATTTGATTATAGTTCTTTCTACAGCATGGAGGCTCTTCCAGAGTGGTTGGGTAACCTTACATCTCTTATCAACCTGCATATTTGGGACTGTAAGAATCTGATGCGTATGCAACGCCTCACCAAATTAGAAACGCTATCGATTAGTGGATGTCCCAGTCTAGCGGAAAGATGTGCCAAGGAGAGCGGCCCAGAATGGCACATGATTTCTCACATCCCACGTATAACAGGTAATTAATACTCTGATCAAATCAAATCATTAATTAATTGTTTGTTCAATTCCCTTCTCACTTTTCTTTCTACAGTTGACGGAGTTGACCTGCCTAAAGAATCGGAATCTTCAAGTGATGATTCGACTCACTCAAAGCCTCACCAAACTAGCACAGTACTCAACTGTTCATGTTTTTCATGAATGTTCCTTCGGGGAGTAGCTGCAACTTTCACATTGAAGCACAAAGAGAGCCTCTTCTTAATGTTTTTGCAAAGCTTTATACTTCCTTGTTGCTTTACTCATGGCATCTATCATCATTTCATCAATTGGTATAATTTGCCTACTTTCAGAAGGCTTTTACTCGAATCAGAAAAACAAGTGCTGAGAAACATTAGGTGAAAACTTTTTCCATCCAGGTACTTCTGTTTCCCATTCGCTAAAAATCGTTTTCATATTGAATTATCCGAATATATATTGCACAGGGGTTTAGCTTAGTTGTTTCACTGATGGCATCTAATATTATTTCAATTTGCCACAGTTTGTTGGTTTTCAGAAGGATCTTACTCAATTGGAAGAACAAGTGATGCGCAAAAGGTGCAAACTTAGTGCAGGTACTTCAGTTCAGTTCCCATTCCCCTGCATCACTATTTATTCATTTCTTTGGAGATAAATGCTGGAAGAAAAAAAAAGTAACAGTGTTTGATGAGAATTTGGCTAATCATTATATCATACATTCCCATCTAATCATAACATCACTTTACTAGCATGGAGAATACAATTATTCTTAGAAATCATTTTCCTATTTATATATACATCTCCCTAAATTAATTTCATTAGATCACCCTGCTCTGTATAAATATTTGTTCGACTGCATTTAGAGTCATGTGTAGCGACTAGCTGGAAAAGTTTACACCAACAATTAGATATGTTATCAGTGATATCAAACCTTAACACTTGTATACCTACTGTCATCACTTGAAACTCTTTCCTTTTCTTCCGTTTTTGCCTTCTTCTTTTGCCGTTTTTGTTTTTCATTCTTCTTTATCAGCAGTTAAGTGTTTCATATATTTTCAAAGCTTCAATTACCATGGTAGCTTTATGTAGAAACTTACAGAGAAAGTACTACCATTTGCAAGTTTCAAACACCAGTTACAGTTTTCAGTTTCATTTATTTTCAGTTTTGCTAAAATGAATCAATGAACAAGTTCTAGATCATACACATACATTTGAATTCTCAGACTTTAAAATGAATCAATGCTATAAACTTGGATTTTTTAACACAGGAGGCGCCAGAAAATTATTCCTGTTGTTTCAATAAGAATTCTTATTGGTAAATTGAGGTTAACCTCTGCTCAAGCTTTATTAGTATTCCTTTTTTTTTCTATAAGAATTTGGTTGGCAACCTTTTGTAAATTGTTTGCTTCATCTATTAATCTGCAACATTTGTTATATTCTTCCATCCTACCACTGGATGCATTTGGCACCTCTCTTTCCTCACTTTGTAACCATTGTGTGAAGAATCCGAGTTATTTATGAGATAACCTACACACAGTAATGTCTCTTCAGAATTTGACGATACTCTCTTGCAGATTTGGGGCTAACATTCATTTGAAGTGTAAACAGTCCTTAGAAGTTGTTTATAAAAATTTGATGAACTGGAGGGTTTACTGGAGTGTTGAGGGAACCTTGAAGCTTTCAGTGAACTATCTATTGTATATGTGAGAATCTGAAGAATCTACCAGCAGTGAAAGCTCGGAAAATTTCCCCAAAATGAAAAGATGCACCAAGGAGAGCCAGAGTCATGCGTACGTTTCTTTCTCAAATCGGAATTTATGATTTGTTTTCTTGTCCTCTCTCACTTTCATCTGTTGTTAGTTAACTTATTGGCCATTAAGTTTGTTGTCTACTGCAACACAAAGAAGAAGTTGAGGAGCAAAAATATATAGTTTACTATAAATTGAAGGAACATATTCAACTCATCAGTAGTTTGTGTGGTTTTAATTGCTTCATTGAAGGAACTATAAATACAACATTGTGTTTTCACAATCTTTGTGGAATAACACTTGAGATTGTTGAGGAAAATTAGGTTTGTTAGTCTGGAAGACAAACTAATACATAGAGAACGGGCAAGACCAGTTCAACTCTTGTATGATTTTGTTCGAATTTTTCTGATCTGCAAGCAGAAACTTTGAGTCCTTAGTTTCATAAAATGGCCTTGTTTTTGTTGCTGGTGTTTATGTGACCATGGTGTCGTTGCAACATTGGTAATCCTCTGTTTCATATTTTAATCTCTCTCTTTTCCAGGCAAGGAGATACATGGCATAATGCAGCCAATGGTGTTCTTCATAATGCAGGTTTCAGCTATATATATGGCATATCAGTTGTTGACGGTGATTAACTTTTTACCTTGAGTATCTTATAGTACACTAAAATAATAATCATGATACATGTTGATTTATTTTCCTTTTTCCCGTTTCTACAGTTAAGGTCCTCTGTTATTTGATAGTATGTCATTTTTACTTATGCTGTTGCCAGAATCAGGTAAAGGAGTCTTTAGTTATAAGCTGTTTACCATCATTTTAAGGTTGAAGGTAATTTTGAACATTTCTTGCTAAGTTTATCTTGGTGTTATATTGACCAGGCAGAGTCGAAATTGAAGAAGAAACTCATGCATGCGATGTGCGTGTGATCTAGAACTTACTGTTTTGGACAATATGGTAAGCTACTATCCCTTTAGTTTGTTTTCTTGACATGTAATATAAATAGAGTTATATTCTTATTTATGAGATAACCTACACACAATCATGTCTCTTCAGGATTTGATGATAATGTTTTGCAGATTTGGGGCTAGCATCCATTTGAAGTGTAAACAGTCCTTACAAGTGAACTCAACTAAAATTTAGAGCAACCTGTGCAAAACACAAGAGTGAACATAATGAACCCGTGACCGTCTCTCATTTTAATGGAAGTGCGATTTCGAGGTTGCTATTGAGAAACAACGGAAGAGAAATACATGTACATAGAGACATCAGGAGAGAGCAGCGGGCATCGCAATGGACGAACATTGGATATTAATCATACTAACAACAATAGCCCTTTGTGAAAATGGGAGAATGCATGAGGAATACTATGTGATACTACTTCTCACTGTACAAGACAAAACATAAAACCACAACTCACATTCCAACAGCAGATTAAGAGACTTGCTTCAGAGCATTGGCAATCTCATTAGCTTTTGCTTGCCTACTTACACAGGTGACCAAGGGTCTCTCTGGTGGAACAATGCCATCTCTTAGATAGCTTCCTGATGTTTTTAGCAGCTCTTCCAAACCCTTTGCCACCACCTCTTTCATGATTATGGTCTTAGCAGCTGTTTCCTTTTGATTCCAAAGAATAATGTTTTTCACTTTGGTATCAGTCAATTGGCAGTGATGTTGAATCAATTTTGTTAAGCAGATTCAAACTTTGGTAATTGATTCTTAGCTGACTAATGATGCTTCCTTTTCTGATGTTACACCAATGTTACACCAAAACTGCCGAGACCCTCTTCTTCCTCTCATCCATTAACGGTAAATGGAAGAACAGTGGAACCTTGCCAAACTTCCACCCCGCATGTTTCAGATAGGCTGGGAGCCGCAAATAAGGTTAAGGTGGACGATAAGGACCTCAAGAAAGGGCATTATTGAAGCTCCATCATTTGCTGAGAAGCTCATTCTAATTTAGCATTTAAGAGAGAACTAGCCACAATTTTGATATGTAACGTAGAACTCTTATATACAAGAAATGCGACAGAAGGAAAGTGAAAGTAGTTGCATTCATTCGCTGGCCTCCCGAAATTGTTCACCGCTCAGTGTTTACAAATTTGCTTTTGTTTAATTTCCAAGTCTGGCACACTTTGCGCATGATACTCAACTTTTTTTCTTCTTTCTATCCTTGAGACAAGTGCGTATTAGATTTATTTTCCTATGTTTTCATTTTTGGATTATTAGTAGTTACTGAGTTTTACTTTTAAGTCTCCTCCAAGATACAAGATTGATGAGTTTTCCGTGTGGGAAGAGGGAACCTCAGCAGAGGAAGAAATTTTTTATATGTTCAGGGTACACCACATGGTTGGTATGCCATCCAATATACATAGGATATGTGGAATTATTCTCCAACTAACCACATTGCTTTTTATGACTTGTGGCTAGCTGCATTTAATATTTCACATGTATCTATGTCAATTGGATGATGCACCAGCCACGTAGTTTACCTAGAACACCCATTAGAGGAGACATGAGATGAGAGAGGGTTAGTGATTGATGGTGTGCCAGCAAAAGAATGGTGAGTTTAAGCAAGCAAAGTATAATTTGACGAGTGCATAAAGTGAAGTCTTATTAGTGAGTGTTCCACTTTAATGTCTTTTCTCTTTTTCCTTTTACTTTGTTATTCTTCTGCTGCTTGTCATTTGTTGTCAGTTGTGGCTTGGTGCTTTTGCTCTCTGGGGAAGAGATGAGCATGAGCATATTGGAGACCAAGTAATGATGGTCGGCATTTTCTGAGCTGTGCATGTCCTCTTCTTCTAGCCGCACTACCCACACCCTCTTCCTTCTACCTACCTATTTCTCCCTCCAGATCTGGGTTTTTTATTTTCCCTTTTTTCACAAGGGAAATGTGCCATAACAAGTTGCTGGCTGCGATTTTGTATCCTTCAAAATTTCCCTTTTTTTCACAAGGTTCTCTATTTTATTTAATTAGATTTTCTTTTGGGTGCAACTTCTCCGATAATAAATAATGTACACTAGAAAATCAATACAAATAATTCCGTTGCATATTGCTGCTCAAAGTAGATATAGAGATATTGCAAAAAAATTGTTAGTGAATAATGCATTATATTATAGAGTGGAAGAATAAGGTAAGATTAAAAAAGATACAGTACCACTTTAAAAAAAATAAAAATAAAATTTGTAGATAGATTGTAAAGCAAAGGATGTAACAATTATTAGAGATATGCTAAAATGATAAATGATTTCCGATAATCGATGTATTTTCTATGCCCTAAGTGGCCATGTTCTAAAATGAATAATATTTAATTTTTTTTTTTTTTTTTTTTTTTTTTTTGATGTTGGAGAGAGAGAGAGAGAAGAAGAATAGGAGATGTCTGGTGCCCAGTCCATGTCCATCGGTAAAGAGAGGCAGAGAAAAATATAAAAACAAGAATTTGATATTTTTTAGTTTATCTTTTAAAAAAAAACTAATAACACATATTCATGAAGAATATGTATACATGCTTCTCAGCCAAAAAAATTAAAATAAATTTCACAATGTCAAAATAAGATTTTCGCAGCTTTAAGGCTTAGATAATGTCACAAGGAGTTTCTAGGAATTTTTTGTGTATTTTTTGAATTTTAATGCATTTATTGTAAATTTTAGAAGTTTAATCAAATGGAAGTGATTGACATGAGGAAGCTGCTGAAGGGCGCACCATCGGTATTTCTAATGGGTGTCCTTCTACAATAGCACCACGTGTCATTCTAGCTATATTTGTATTATTTATCTTAAAAAAATCATAACAACTTAAATTAAAAATCAGAAAAATACACCAAAAAAAAAGGTATGCGGTCCTTACAAAAAGGCCTTTGATTTTTGAGGTCTAAAATTATGATACCATATATTTGAGTTCATGGTAATCATTGTATCAAAGAAATAAGAGTGTTAGGTTGTAGAAAATTAACTTATGTTTTGGTTTTGTTGGAAACAAACTTGAATTGTTTCGTCACTTTGAGTTTTTATAAGTCAAAATAAGATTTTTATAGCTTTAGGGTGAAGAGAATGTCACAAAGGAGTTCCTAGAATTTTCGGTGTATTTTTTGGATTTTTAATATATTTATTATGAATTTTGGAAGTTAAATAATAATAAAAAAAATTAAATTAAAGCGATTGACACATGGCAGCTGCTCCTTAGGACAAAGTCTTCAATTGTTTAGGTCTAAAATCATGATTCCGCAATAAGAATGATGTTTACAAAAAAATTAACTATAATTTACACACATTATTTTTACAAAGGAGTTCATGGTAATCATTGAAACATTAACTATAATTTTGATTTAATTACTTTATAACTAAGTTCATTTTGAAGTAAAACTTTCTGGTGCTTCTAATTTTATATTAGCATAGTTTGTTGGCATATCAAGTATCAATATTCCTTTTGCTACAATAAGAATTATATTTATCTTTGAGTTGATGATAACGTCTCTTCATGTGTAATAATATCCTTGATTGAAAGTATGGTTGACTTCTCTACTGGCGCATATGTTGGGTATACCTATTTTAGTAATATAATTCGTTCATGAGATTTTATGTCATTGCAACTTCTTATACGTTTTGTTCTAGGTTTTAATCAGCATTGGCTATCTGCTTAAATCTCACCACTGGATTATTTTTCAATTATATGCTATTAAATGGGGTAAGAAAAAGAAGTGATGCATCACGTAGTACTTTTTGTCATGTTGTTTGTTCCCCAGACGAGTAACATTTTTGTGGATTTTGGAGATTTTCTTGACTAGTGTGGGATTTAATGTGAATCTAGAAAGTGTTGGTCGAGAGCAAATGGTTTGGACTAACTTGAGAACCAATTAACAATATATGTTTGTTCATCGAGACTCGAGAGCGCATGGTACAGCGCGTATAATAACATGAACAGGAAGCAAGCAACAACTTGAAAAGCACTGCAACTATATTATACTTTTCGGGACACAAAAAGGCATATAATGTCTCTTTAAGCCTCTAACAAAGAGTCCCACCATCTAACCATATTTTGAATTCCTAAATATGCATGCATTTAGATTTTAGAAGGATACATAAATTTACAATTATCATTTGGAGAAATACGTACAATGTTGAATAATATTAAGAAAAAGACAAATTTCTATTTGTGTCCGAAACACATGTTCATCTTAAAAACGATTCTGCAACTCATGAGTAAACAAATAAGCCGTTTCTTTCCGTAACCCGGATATCCAAATTATTTTTATTTCTTTTAGATACAATTTTCTTTTGTTACCTAATAGTAGCACTAGTCTGCGAGAGTAATAATGATTTGATGGTTTTTTATTGTGTGCAGAAACTAGGTGAAAAGTGCAACCTTTTGTTTTCTTGTGTACATTTTTGGTATTTCTCATTAGTTCATCCTTACTTATCCCATAAGTTTTCATAATTTGCAAGAGAACAAAGAAAAGAAGCATAAAAATTCAAACAAACAAAAAAATTATGAAAAAAAAAGGACAAAGATCCAGAGAAGAGAGAGCAAGGAATAAAGCGACGGAAGGCAACGAATAATGTTAAGGTGGACAATAAGAAAGCACCGCCGTGCCAAAAGAAAGATACAAAAGACAAGGATAAGGATAGCAACAACAACAGAGAGAGCTGTGAATAATGTTGCTTGGAGCTTGGAGCTTTAAAGGAAAGTGGAAAGTATAAAGACAGCTGGAAAGTTTTTCTTCATTTGCATTCAGTTGCTTTAAATCAATATTCCAACAAACTCTGCGTGCTATTGCTGTGTTCATCATCTCCTTCTACCTACAGACAGAAACTTTGTGCCTGTGCGTCTTCATCCATCTTCAGTCTCTTCTTCTCGTTTCTTAATTTATTAACTAGCATTAATATGATCTGCTGTTTGTCTTGCGCAGGGTTACACAAGGAAACTAAGATGGCAGTAGAATCTGTGCTTACTTTTGCGACCGAGAGAATACTGACGAAGCTGACTGACCTTGCTGCTCAAGAATTCCGTATGGCCTGGGGATTCAAAGCTGAACTAAGGAAGCTCAGTCAATCCTTACCCATCCTTCAAGATTTCTTAGGAGATGCTGCTGAGAAGGCAAAAGATGGGGGGCAAGGCAGTGGAAGATTGGGTGAAGAAACTTAAAGACATAGCTGATGAGGCTGATGATGTCTTGGAAGAAATCAACTATGAATTTCTCCGGAGACGAGTAGAACTGCAAAACCAAATGGGAAAAAGGTGCTCAACTTCCTTTCTGCCTCCAATTCCATTTTGTTTCGACAGAAAATGGCACGCAGAATTAGAAAAATCAGCGCTTCTCTGGCGGAGCTCAAGAATGAAGCAGCTTTCATTGGGTTAGTTGCAAAGAAAAAAGATCCAACCTCTCAAAGAATTAGGGAGGACAGAGAAACCAACGCATTCATTGGTAAAGATGAAATCATCATTGGAAGGAATGCGGTTGTGTCAGATATAATTACAACATTGACCAACTCCAATACTAACGAAAAAAATCTGTCGATTATGGCGATTGTGGGAATGCCAGGACTGGGAAAGACAACTTTGGCCAAGTCAGTGTACAATGAAGGTGCTATCGATGAGTATTTCAACAAAAAATTGTGGGTGTGTGTATCAAACACTTTCAACGTCAATTCAATTTTAGCTGCAATGTTAGAATTACTCTCAGGAAAGGTAGCAACGGCAAGTCAGCAAGCATTGCTTACAGACCTCCGAGAAAAGTTGAAAGAGAAAAAATACTTGCTGGTACTTGATGATGTTTGGAATGAAGATTCGGAGAAATGGGAACGTTTGATGAGCTGTTTGTCAAAGTTGAATTCTTCTCCAGGAAGCAAAATTATTATCACTACCCGCAGTAGCAAAGTTGCATCAATCACAGAAACACTTCCGCCGCCTAAATTGGAACTTCTATCAACAGATGAATGCTGGTCCATATTGAAACATGCAGCTTGCTCAGATGGTAGTTCTGATATACCTCTTCATTTAAAGAGTATTGGACGGGAGATTGCTAAAAATGTGATGGTCTACCATTGATGGCAAAGGTACACGTACTGTATATATATAATTTTTCTCTCTTTTTTCTTTTGATACAAACATTGCTTACAGCTGGCATTTTTTTATTTATTTAGAATTTTATAGATTGTATTGAATGAGTTCTTAGCATTTAGGGGTCATATTATGAATGGGTTACTTTGAATTGCATTGATGCATTTTCATGTAGAAGGAAATAACAAGGTCTGAAAGAAGAGAATAGTTTCATGTCATTATGCCCATCACAATCTCTTTCTTCACAATCACTTTATTAAATAGAAATCAACAAAGATGTTCCAGAAGGCATTGCACTAGTACCCCACCGGAAAAGCCCTTTAGATTCCAACTCTTGGCTCAATGCAACTCAAAATATATAGTTTGTGTATCACTTTGCGCATATTTTGTCACACTTTTTCCCTTTTACTAGTTATGCGTCATTTAATAGGATTTCATAAAGTTCATAAAAAAAATTTGTTAAATCTTTGGGTCTATTTTTTTCCTCACAAGGATGCCAGGTTGGCGTCATATAGAAGTAGACAAAATATTTTACATTTTCACTTTGCCCCTTAATACTTACATTCACTTTTCACCTCACCCAATTCCGTGAAGTCTGTTAAGCATGCGAACATGGTGCAAGCCTAATAAAAATATGGGAAATGCTAGCAACCTTCTCTTTTGCACATTCTCCCTTCTTGCATTGGCATGTGTTACTTTATTTACACTTAAAATAATGTCATTAATAATCAAATAAACTAGTTTTTGTTTTCCAACTTTACCCTTATTAAATGAAATATTTAATTTAAAACTATTAACTTCCCTAATTTCTTCAATTTAAAAAAAAATTTCTCTCTCCATCTCACTCTCAATCCTCTCTCTATCCTTTGCAATACCCCACAACCCTTCTTCTGCCTCCCCACTTCTCCCCAAAACAAACGCTAATACCCAGCAATGACCCATGACCAGTACCTAAACAAGCATATGAAAGAAACCCACTTCCTCTACCCCTCATTACCACCAAACCACATTTCCCTCATTCCTACCCAACAGCCCCCCACCGTCCGCATATTTCCCCCACCTGACCTTATTCGCTTTCTCTATTGTTTTTAATTGAACAATTTTTTTTATTTATTTGGTTTTGTTTATATAAAAAATTTGTTTGAGCTTTCATGATTTGGGAAGCAAAGGGCCTGTAGAGTTTAGAGAGAGACAAAAAAAAAAAATTTCTCATCGAACAAATGTGAGAGTGAGAGGGAGAGAGAGGTGGGGTGGCTTAGGATCGCGCTGTGATGATTTTTGACTTTTTAGTTTCTGTCAAGGCCATATATGGAAATACAATTTAATATTTCTTTTAAAATTAAAAATATTGTTTTGAGTGAAATGAGAAAGTTTAAAGGAGAAGGTTAGATAGAAAATTACTAGCATTTTCTTAAAAATATTTAATATTTTAAAAATCTAAAAAAGATAAATTAAAATTTTAGCATTTTCCTCTGGCTTCTATGATGCCAGCAGGTTAGAGAGAAAATTACTAGCATTTTCCACCTGCTAACAGTTTCATTCGCTTCAAATCACATAAAATCAATAAAGAGCAAAAGCAATTACAAAAATTTACAAAAGAAAGAAAGCACATGCACAAGAAAAGAAAAAAAAGGAAAAAACAAAGCAAGTCGGCCTCAAAGAAAACTTTGCTTGTCTCAAAACCCACCAAACTCTTTTATTGTCGCTAGACCAGCCACGAACAGAGAAGTTTGATAGCCAACAGTTACTCCAACAGTTAAACGTTCCAAACATAACCAGATTTGCACCCCAACACGTTGTATAATTATGGGCGAATTTCACTAAGACCCCTTGACGTTTGGCATTATTACGGTCAGAACCCCCAGATTTGATTTATTTCACTTACACCCCTATTTTTAATAGATGTTAACTCACACTAAAAGTAAAAGGCCAAGCCTGTCATTTGAATCGTAAAAACCTAAATATAAGATCAAAACTAAAGGAAAAAAAAATTAAAGCCAAGTCATCCCAAAGCCACCAACCCACCAACCCAGCAGCCGGAGCCACCAACACGTCTCTCTTCCACAGCCATCAAGGCACACCTTGAGCTGTTTAGGCCCAACCAACCTTAAATTCCCTCAGTGAATCTAGACAAACAAAACGAAGAATACCCCAATGCCAGCTACCAATCCAATCAAGAACCTCATCAGAAAAAAAAACAAAACAAAACAAAAAACAAAAACAAAAAAAGCAAACAAACTCCAAAAATCGTAAAACCCTAGCTACCAATCAATTCTATAAAATAAATAAAAAATTAGAAAAAAGTGAAACTTTTTGCCCAAAACATACAACCCAAACTACAAATCCAATCCAGTCTACTTTTATCAGATAAAATTCCAAGAGTTTTAGGTGTTTGTTAAAACAAGTAATATAGGGGTCTATATGAAATGCTCCATATAATTATAGTCAAATTTCGATTAAACTACCTAATTGTTTACTTCTTCTTTTTTGTCATTAGTAAATTTAGATATACATATCCTAAGTCATGTGTATCAACAGGTTTCGGGAGGCATACTTCGTTCTAAAAATAGTACTGATGAGTGGTTGTCAATTCAAGAAAGTAAAATATGGGCATTACCAGAAGGCGAGGATAGAATCATGTCTGTTTTGAGGTTGAGTTTTGATAATTTGAAATCAGCACCTTTAAAACATTGTTTTGCATATTGCTCAATATTTATGAAAGATTTTGAAAGGGAGAAGTTGGTCCAACTCTGGATGGCTGAAGGATTTCTCCACTCTTCAAGTAATCAAGAGATGGAAGATATAGGGAATGAATATTTTAATATTCTATTGCAAAACTCCTTTTTTCAAGATGTTACAATGGATGAAGATGGAGTTGTTATCACATGCAAGATGCACGATCTTGTGTATGATCTTGCAGAACTAGTGTCAAAATCTGTTGGAAAATTGTGGAGTTGCCAAGTTCAATTGGCAGGTTGAAACACTTGAGGTATTTGGATGTTTCTAGAACACAAATCAAAGAACTTCCAAAATCTATTGGCAAGCTTTACAATCTGCAGACATTAAGAATGTGTGTTATGTGGTATCTTGAAAGGTTTCCAAAGGAAATGGAAAATTTGATCAACTTGAGGCATGTTTATTTCGACAAGGGTAACAAAGTTCCATTTGGGATGAGACGATTGACTCGTCTGCAAACATTACGTTACTTTAATTTGGATAAGGAAAGGAATCATGGAATTGACGAGCTGGGTGGCTTAAACCAATTAAAAGGTAAACTAACTATCTCATCTTTGGAACATGTGAAAGACAAAGACGAAGCGAAGAAATCAAATTTAGCAGGGAAAGCAAATATACGAAAGTTGACATTAAAGTGGAGGAAGTCCTGGCAGAGAAACGACAAGGTGAGTGAAGTTGATGTACTAGAAGGCCTCCAACCGAACCGTGAGTTAGAAATCTTAAAGATTGAGAGCTTCATGGGTGGCAAATTAGCATCATGGATGATGAGTCTACTCAATTTGAAAGAGATCCGGTTATCTTACTGCAGGGAATGTGAAGAAGTCCCTCCACTCGGCCATTTGCCAAATCTTAGGCATGTTGAATTTGAATCTATGTATAAGCTTAAATGTGTGGGAGTTGAGTTTTATGGTGCGGCTTTGTTTCCATCATTGAAAACGTTAGTTTTTAATAATTGTCCAGCTCTAATTGAATGGAAGGAAGTGGATGTGATTTCGCCAGCAGCGGTGTTTCCCTGCCTTGAGGAGTTGACTCTTTTGATTTGCAGTCAATTGAGAAATGCTCCAAGTCGTTTTCCATCTCTCCAGAAGTTGATCATATATAATACTGACCAGGTCATGGCAATAGAAAATATATGCAGTCAACTAACCACTCTCACTCACCTCGAAATTCGTGGAGCCACAAAGCTTACTCGTCTGCCAGTAGGGATGCTGGAAAACATCCACAATCTTCGGGTGCTGCATATTGAAAATTGCAATAAGCTTAGCCATTTACCTGATGAGCTACACACACTCCGTCTTCTTGAGTGGTTAACTCTAAAGTATTGTACTAGTCTAGAGTTCATTCCAATTACCACCCAGAGCCAGGGCATGCCATGTCTCCGCATAGTGAAGATTCTGAATTGTGAGAAATTATCAAGCTGGCCGAGTGGGTTGGAATATTGCACCTCTCTTCAGGAATTGCATATTGAAAAATGTCAAAATTTGAGGCATTTACCGGTTGATGCGCTACAGACCCTCGTCTCTCTTAAGGAGCTGTACATAAGGGATTGCACTAATCTAGAAGCTATTCCCAGTTTAGACAACCTCACATCCCTTCGTTATTTGTCTATTTGTGGTTGTGATGGACTCACAAGTCTACCGAGGGGGCTACAATCCTGCACATCTCTTAGGCACTTGGAAATCTGGAAATGCCATAATTTGATCTCTCTGGCAGATGTCGATGATATATCCAGATTGCAGTCTCTTTCCAATTTACAAATATTTGATTGTCGGAAATTAAAATATTTGCCGACGAGTTTGGAATATTTGACAATCGGTAAGTTTTGGGAAGAGCTCGATTCTTTCCCTGATTTTGAGCTTCCAACACAAATCCGATGGTTAAAGATCTCAGGGTGGCCTAAGCTCAAGTCTCTGCCTCAACAAATTCAACACTTGACTACTTGTTTAGAAGATTTGAGAATAGATTCTTTCGACAGCATGGAGGCTCTTCCAGAGTGGTTGGGTAACCTTACATCTCTTATCTACCTGGATATTAGGGATTGTAAGAATCTGATGTATCTGCCTACTGTTGAAGTTATGCAACGCCTCACCAAATTAGACAAGCTACTTATTTCTAGATGTCCCCTTCTGGCGGAAAGATGTGCCAAGGAGAGCGGCCCAGAATGGCACAAGATTTCTCACATCTCATATATAGAAGGTAATTAATACTCTGATAAAATCAAATCATTAATTAGTTGTTTGTTCAATTCCCTTCCTCACTTTTCTTTTTCCGGGTTTAACTACCACAGTTGACGGAGGTTGGCTGTAAAGAATCGGAATCTTCAAGTGATGATTCGACTCACTCAAAACCTCACCAAACTGGCACAGTACTCAACTGTTCATGTTTTTCATGAATGTGCCTTCGGGGAGTAGCTGCAACTTTCACATTGAAGCACAAAGTGAGCCTCTTTTTGCAGAGCTTTATACTTCCCATTCGCTAAAAATCATTTTCATATTGAATTATCCGAATATATATTGCACAGGGGTTTAGCTTAGTTGTTTCACTGATGGCATCTAATATTATTTCAATTTGCCACAGTTTGTTGGTTTTCAGAAGGATCTTACTCAATTGGAAGAACAAGTGATGCGCAAAAGGTGCAAACTTAGTGCAGGTACTTCAGTTCAGTTCCCAATCCCCTGCATCACTATTTATTCATTTCTTTGGAGATAAATGCTGGAAGAATAAAAAAGTAACAGTGTTTGATGAGAATTTGGCTAATCATTATATCATACATTCCCATCTAATCATAACATCACTTTACTGGCATGGAGAATACAATTATTCTCAGAAATCATTTTCCTATTTATATATACATCTCCCTAAATTAATTTCATTACACTTTCTATCACCTGCTCTGTATAAATATTTGTTCGACTGCATTTAGAGTCATGCATAGCGACTAACGGGAAAAGTTTCCACCAACAATTAGATATGTTATCAGTGATATCAAACCTTAACACTTGAATACCTACTGTCATCACTTGAAACTCTTTCATTTTCTTCCCTTTTTGTCTTCTTCTTTTGCCGTTCGACTGCAGTTAAGTTTTCATATATATATATATATATATATATATATATATTTTCAAAGCTTCAATTACTGTGGTCTCTTTATGTGGAAACTTACAGAGAAAGTACTACCATTTGAAATTTTCAAACACCAGTTCAGTTTCCAGTTTAATTTATTTTCTGTTTTGCTAAAATGAATCAGTGAACAAGTTCTAGATCATATAACATACATTTGAATTCTCAGACTTAAATGAATCAATGCTATAAACTTGGATTTTTTAACACAGGAGGGGTACAATTGTTAATCCCATATTAATTCATTATTCTAGGATTCTACTTGTTAATTAAATCTAGGTTCATATTGGTGTTCAATTTTCTGGTGCTGCCAATCTTATATTATCGTAGTTTCTTTCAAGTGTAAACGCCACTTCTCTGTTCTTGACACTCTATAAAGTAACCAAGAGAAGTGTTTGGCGCCAGAAAATTATTCCTGTTGTTTCAATAAGAATTCTTATTGGTGAATTGAGGTTAACCTCTGCTCAAGCTTTAATAGTATTCCTTTTTTTGTCAATAAGAATTTGGTTGGCAACCTTTTTGTAAATTGTTTGCTTCATCTATTAATCTGCAACATTTGTTATATGCTTCCATCTTACCACTGGATGCATCTGGCACCTCTCTTTCCTCACTTTGTAACCACTGTGTGTGGAATCCGAGTTATTTATGAGATAACCTACATACAGTAATGTTTCTTCAGAATTTGATGATACTCTTTTGCAGATTTGGGGTTAGCATCCATTTGAAGTGTAAACAGTCCTTAGAAGTTGTTTATAAAAATTTGATGAACTGGAGGGTTTACTGGAGTGATGAGGCAACCTTGAAGCTTTCGGTGAACTATCTATTTGCATATGTGAGAATCTGAAGAATCTACCAGCAGTGGAAGCTCTGAAAATTTCCCCAAAATGAAAAGATGCATGGAGGAGAGCCAGTCATATGTACGTTTCTTTCTCAAATCGGAATTTATGATTTGTTTTCTTCTCCCATTTATCGTTAATTAACTTATTGGCCATTAAGTTTGTTGTCTACTGCAACACAAAGAAGAAGAAGAAGAAGAAGAAGAAGATATTCAACTCCTCCGTAGTTTGTTTGGTTTTAATTGCTTTGTTGAAGGAACTATAAATATGACATTGTGTTTTCACGATCTTTGGAATAACACTTAAAATTGTTGAGGAAAATTAGGTTTGTTAGTCTGGAAGACAAACTTATACATAGAGAACAGGCAAGACCAGTTCAACTCTTGCACGATTTTGTTCCAATTTTCCAGATCTGCAAACAGAACCTTTTAGTCCTTATTTTCATAAAATGGCCTTGTTTTTGTTGCTGGTGTTTGTGTGGCCATGGTGTCATTGCAACATCTGTAATCCTCTGTTTCATATTTTAATTTTTCTCTCTTTTCCAGGCAAGGGGATACATGGCATAGTGCAGCCAATGGTGTTTTTCATAATGCAGGTTTCAGCTATATATATGGCACATCAGTTGTTGACGGTGATTAACTTTTTTACCTTGAGAGTATCTTTTAGTACACTAAAATAATAATCATGATACATGTTGAGTATCTTGTAGTCCTCTGTTATTTGATAGCAAGTCAATTTTACTTATGTTGTTGCAAGAATCAGATAAAGGAGTCTTCAGTTATAAGCTGTTTACCATCATTTTAAAGGTTGAAGGTAATTTTGAACATTTCTTGCTAAGTTTATCTTCTTGTTATATTGACCAGGCAGAGTCAAGATTGAAGAAGAAACTCATGCGTGCGATGTGCTTGTGATCTAGAACTTACTGTTTTGGACAATATGGTAAGCTACTATCCCTTTGGTTTGTTTTCTTGACACTCATTAAAAAATATAGTTATATTCTTATTTATGAGATAACCTACACACAGTCATGTCTCTTCAGGATTTGATGATACTATTTTGCAGATTTGGGGCTAGCATCCATTTGAAGTGTAGACAGTCCTTAGAAGTTGTTTATAACAATTTGATGAACTGGAGGATCTACTCGAGTGATGAAGGAACCTTGCAGCAGTCGATGAACTATCTATTTGTATGTGTGAGAATCTGAAGTATCTACTTGCAGTGGAAGTTCCGAAATTGTCGCCAAAATGAAAAGATGCACTGAGGAGAGCTGCCCTAGTGGCAAAGGTTTTCTCATATTTCCAAGACTCAAAGTGTCCTTAGCAACAATTTTCTCACTGTCTTTTTAGTTGAATATATATATATATGTGTGTGTGTGTGTTTAGTTTTTGGTGTCATTACAGCATCTATGCTTTCCTGTTTCAGGTTTTAATAATCCTCTCCTTTCCAAGCAAGGACGATAGTGCAAACAGTACTAATCCTTTGGCTTGGGTGACTCAACAAATGTGAGTGAGAATCAAGTGGAATTTTGCTCTTCTTCACTCTCCTGTGGGTGTCTGTCTTCATAATGCTAAAAAGTAAGGGACAACTGATTCATTTTTAGTATGACATTGTATCAGGAATCCACAAAAGTCTATTTTAGTGGAAGGTTGTTCTGCGCAGTTCTTGCTAACTTGTTCTAGGTTTAATATATGACCAGGCAGAGTCAGCATTCAAGAAGAAATTCATGAATGCACTATGAGTGCCACTGCCATGCATGTTTTTGTCTCACGAAATTTTAATTTGCACAAATTGGTAAGCTCTAATCCCTTTCATTACACCGAATATTTTCTTTGTCATCACAATACTGTAGTTGTATTCTTATGAGTTTGAATCACAGGGAAACTTCTTATGGTGCACCATAATTGGAAGACACTGTTTACTTGGAGGGCGTTTATCATGAAGAAAGCTCCTCCTAATGAAGTCCTAAGACCTATCTCTTACAAATAAGATAGTTTAAGTCTTTTTAAAGCACGAATGATAGCAGAAGTTTATAAATAAATAAAAGGCTTTTTATCACAAATGGTCCTTAACGTTTAAGATTTTATCACGAATGGTCTTTGAGATTTTTTTGTAACACTAATAGTCCTTAACGTTAGGGCTTTTAATCACAAATGGTCCCTCCGTTAAAAATTCTGTTAAGTGTCTGAAATGAAAGACAAGTGGAGCCCATATGTCACAATCACATGTGGTGACATGAAATTAATAAAAAAATTATTTTTTTTTTATAATTTTTTTTTTATTTTTTTTTTTTTTTTTTTTTTTTTTTTTTTTTTTTCTTTTCATTTCCCTCTTCCTCTACTCCATCTTTCTCCCCCTCTGCCCTTGCTCTCCATCCTCTGCCCCTTCTCTCCCCCTCTGCTCTCCTTCTCTCCCCCTGTCCTCTCCTTCTCCCTCTGTAAAAATAATAATATAACCCATATATCTTTCTTCATCTTTGTATAGTGGTATATAAATCATAACCCATAATCCCCCTTTGTTTTTTTCTTGCCCATTGCCTGCCACCTACAAGAAAAAATGGTCTTTGGTATTCTTTTATTCGTCTCTGTTTTTTTAACACAGCCACCCACAAGCCGCAACCCACGCCCAACTCCCCTACCCTCTCCCACTGTATTTTCTCTCCTCCTCTACTCTCCCCCTCTGTTTTTAATTGTTTTAAGTTGTTTAAATAAATATTTGTGTAAAAGGAAATGTGAAACTACCTTGTGCAAGTGATTATTTTGCAAAATATACAGAGGGAGAGGGGTGGGTTGCAGGTGGGTGGGCATGGGGTGGTCGGGCTGTAGAGGCAAGGAAAAAAAACAGAGGGAGAGGGAGAGGGAGAACACGGGAGGAGAGAGGGCAGAGGGGAGGGGGAGAGAGACAGAGAGAGAATGGATTTTCATAAAATAAAATAAAAAAAGTTCTTTATTTATTTAATCCACATGTCACGATGTGATTGGACATGTGGGCTCCACTTATTACACTTAACAGAATTTTTAACAGATGGACCATTTGTGATAAAAAGAACTAACGTTAAGGACTATTAGTGTCACAAAAAAACATCAAGGACCATTTGTGATAAAATCGTAAACGTTAAGGACCATTTGTGATAAAAAGCCTAAATAAAAAAAAGCTTGTGAGTTTAGAATGTATTTGGGGTTCTTTGTTGAGAAATGAGTTGAGAGATAAATTTAGAGTGATTTTAAGAACTTTCCTTGTCGTTGTAACGATCTTTAGTGGATTATAAACGCAATCGGCCGTGGCCGTATACCAATTATGGGGGACCATGTTCATTTTTGAGTTTATATCTGCTTTCGTTTCTCTCTCTTACTTTTCCTGCGTTTGGTTTGCAACAATGGACTAGATAGCCAAAGGCCACAAATTAGTTCCCATTTGCCGTCCTATTGACCACTTCAAGACAGATTGATCTTAAGAAGATCATTACGTGGAGCAACAGTCTAAGGGAGCTCATCTGGCTAGAACGAAGTTTGAGAGAAGAAATGGTTCTAATATTTGTGAATCTTCCTTTGATTGTATTACAGTTGAATGTTCCATTATGAGAGAAGTGTGATATTTGGTGCACTGATCTTTCTTTGCTGAACTTTGTTTGTTCTTGGATGTTTAGGGCAACTTCCATATACCCTTGTCTTCAATGAATTGTTTGACTTGACTTTATCACAATTATTATGAATACATATTATTTTAAAGTGTTAACTTCTGCAGATTTTCTCTCATGCGGCTTATCAAAATCCAGAAAATCCCAGAGGCCTAATTTGAAAGGCCAAAATGTTTAAAATCAACCCATGAACTGCCACAAGTGAACTCAGATGAAATTTGGAGCAACCTGTGCAAAACACCAGAGTGAACATAATGAACCCATGATCTGTATCTCATTTTAATGGAAGTGCGATTTCGGGTTACTGAGAAACAATGGAAGAGAAATACATGTACAGAGAGAAATCGGGAGAGAGCTGCGGGCATCACAATGGACGAACATTGGATATTAGTCTTACTTGTGTAAATGGGAAAATGCATGGGGAATACTATGTTATACTACTTCTCACTGTATAAGACAATACATAAACCGCAACTCACATTCCAGCAGCAGATTTAGAGACTTGCTTCAGAGCATTGGCAATCTCATCAGCTTTCGCTTTCCCACTTACATAGGTGACCAAGGGGCTCTCTGGAGGAACAATGTCATCTCTTAGATAGCTTCCAGATGTTCTTAGCAGCTCTTCTGAACCCTTTGCCACCACCCCTTTCATGATTATGGTCTTATGAGTC